CCTTACAGACCAAAATTTGACCTTTATAAAATCCATTTGTATCACTGTACCTTGACAATGAGCCAGAAATGGCTCGAAGCGTCGGTGATTTTTGTAATAGAGTGCATTTCCAGAGCGATCCCTTTAAAAACAAGAAAAACACCCTTTTATAAGAATGATCAATTTTATTCAAGTTATTTTCCTTGAAGCATGTTCACGTATTATTCACAATTCCTCTCCACGTATGGAAGGTTTGAGATCGATAAGACTTTATCGGATTCGGCAATTTTCCATTACTGATCGAATATCGGCATTGTTGAACAGGTGAATTAGCTTTAGCTACAGTGGCTAACCGTGAAGTACCTTAATCGACAGGTAAATATTCAGAGAGAACATCATCATCATTACTTGCCATGTTGCATGGTTTTTACCAGAGTCAGATATAACAAAAAAAATCGTAGAATCGACACACTGATCAGAACATGTGAATTTCCTCACAAGAAAAGCAAACCTAATTTCTACTGAGTATCAGTAATTCTGGATGGTTCGGGTATATAGAATATACGGCACTGTATCGCTAAGAATCCATAGTGTCCGTTATGACAAAGGACCAAAACCATTTAAAAAAGTCATTAGCAACAGTTGTTCCATAACTGAACATGAAATACACCTTGAAACTAAATGAATGGATCTGAACCTTCTACGCAGTTAGTGAGTACCATCAGGATAAGTGGCATAGCGGCAATTCAATAATATGCCTTAATCCATATCGCACTTGCAAAACAGTTTTTTAATCAAATAAAAACATACGCTGTGACGACTTAAAATTTTAATACTTAAAAGCTAAATAACAAAAAATAACAGAACCAACGAAATAAGGTGTAGCGAAAAGTTGAGCAAATGTTGAAGAAATGAGCTAAACGGAAATTTTACAAATTACCATGTGGATTTCACATGAATGAACAATATGCCCTTCAATAATTACTTAAAACAAAAAAAACAGAATTACTTATCTCCACGGCGACCTCTGAACCTGTTCGCTTCATAGTTCACATGGCTGCTGCTGTTTGACTGCTGCAGCGCTTCGGCTTGCAGCGCATACCACACACCTTTAATACTAGGTGGTTCAAGGATCTGTTTCAGCCTTCAGCTTCAAACGCAATACAGCAGACGATAAACACACAGATCATTTGGTCAAACCGCAGAGCAGAAAACAAACTAAGATTAATTTAAATAATTATTGAAGAGCATATTTCACATGTAATTAAACATTCAGCACAACACATAAATTAAAAAAAACGTAACGAATTAAAAAAGAACGCAAAAACAAAAGATATGATCAAAGATAATTTCTCAGCCGTTTAAAATTTACGTTTCCCACAACTGTCAAATTATCAGCAAGCACGCTGTAGATTTTCTTGAGGCAAAGTAATCAGTTCAAGCTTCCACCCACTGTGTTTGTTCACGATGGCATAAAATGCCTCATCAAGCAAACTGGAGACCAATCCACCAAAAATAACGAAGCATTTTTGCAACATTTTAACTGTAGACCTGCTGCTGAAGACCACCTGCCAGTAATTACATTATTCGTATCCAAATTGCAAAGAGACGGTAGGGCGTTGGAAGATTCAGATTCAAGTACGAGCGTTAGAAAACAGATCCAGTTTCGAAAACAGCAGGACCACTCAGGGTATAGTCTGGTAACGATATCGCCTTTCGCCGCTGAAATTCCACCGATACCAAAATATGTTATAATGAAGCGTTGTAACGGTTAGATTCATATAAAAATGGAAGAACTTCATGGCTCTGTGAAACTGAAGATCAATAACGGCTGTCATTTGGCGAGCAATCAAATAACTTAGACCAAAGTATGAGAAGAGAATATTCAGCGGCTGCTTTTCAGAAATCGACGAACACAGTGGCTGCGCTAAAATAACGTCAACGTAGTACGGTACATCAGTCATTTTATGTACTTACAGTGAACGACGTGTGCCTGCCATTCCCGCAATTCTGCTGGATGAGATTTGGTGGATGAAGTTGCAAAATTTGATTCAATGACAAAACATGACCAAAACACAAGTAGTTCCTGGCAACATAAACTGTTAGATCTCAATTTTGAGGAACGCAACTGAACAAAACCAAAACGAGGTATAAATAGGTACGGCGAAGTTGCCAAATGGCAGACCATTTTAAGAACAACAAAAAGTAATATGGAGGAATCCAACAGGTAACTGATTCGTTTCCATCAACGGAGAGATAAAGCATATTTGCTTATACCCGCAAATCGATATCGCAGATTTCATGCAGGTTCGGTTCCACAAGTTAGAATAATGACGAAGAGACTGACAAAAAACGAATCACTGCGAAAAGGCTGCTACGTAAGTTTTCGTTATTTCGGTTCCATCGCTCGTTGAACGCAGAAAAAATTACCCGTTTCGCGTCACACCCAAAAAAATAAATCGATGCATTTTTTGAACATTTCTTGAGACTGCAGATTTTATAACAGATACCACTGTCAGCAGCAGAGAACCAATTGACATGAAAGCGTTACAAAAAGCAATTTTTTTAACTTCAGAGTTGGCGAGTCGTTTCGAACAGCCGTCGCGAGAGCCTCATGAAATTGCGTAACTTTGTTCAGGTCTACCATAAGTCACCGGTAGGTGCTGTTTTGGACAATGACGTTACGACTATGAACCTATGCAACAGATGATTCTTCAACTCTCAGCAAGGTAGTAGTCTGTGTACTGAATGTATACACACGTCAACATAAGAAACAGAAATGATTCAAAACCACTACTCGATTTCTGATTAATAGCCTTATGGAGATCGACGAGCCAATGTAGTGATTAAGTGCTTCCAAAGTTCTGAGATCTATCATCATCGTCTGCCTTTTTCGAGAAATTGCTGAGCCTCTGCAAGCTTTTGCCACAAATTTCTGTTTTCTTTGAATTTCATTCATCTTGATCCAACCAACTTATTCAGTTCGTCCCTGAGATCTACAGAGCAACCGTATATTGAAGGACGGATTGTGTCAGCTACATCAGAGGCCAAAATAGCAACGCATCTGGAGGGAAACTTTCGCATGCAAGCATTCGTTGCATCACTGTCTGCAATTCGTCAATAAATGCAGAAATAAATGTTCTGTCCTAAAAAGAGATTATACAGCTTGAAACAAAGTCTCCGTAGGTTCTTACTGTAAGGACTGGACCGGTGTGCATGGCGTAAAGATATCCATAAGCACAGACAGAAACGCCAATCTCAATAACGTATTAAACTGGATTTAAGAGACGCGAAGAAATCTTAGATATGTTGAAACAGGTCTAAAACCAAAGGTTAAGTTTATATGTTAAAATAGTACGTCGCTTACCTTTCGTCAGAAGGCTCAAACAGAAGGAAGAAGGAAAGAAAACGAAAAATGTGAAAGAAAAAGTAAGGTATCGAGAGCAAAAAGTAAGAATGAAAGAGTAAAGAATCGAGAGAAATGAACAGAAATATAACAAAATATTTAAATGAGATGAAGACAGGATTTGAAAACGTTGAACTATCGGGTGATTCACTGATGAAGAATGTTCATGTGGCCCAAACAGATTTCAAAATCTAAAAGAAAATGCAATGCGCGATCAGAAATTTACTGTTACAAAGTATATCAGGTATTAAAAGCATCCGGAGGAATAAGTCCAGCAGTATGGCATTCATGAAACCGCACTGCTGCTAGATCGAAGTCCCACTGATTGTCTTCGAGGCACCTAGAAGAAATAGATTAAGGAATCCAAATCTACGACTCAGGTTATGAATGAAAATTACATTAATTCACTTTGGAAGAATTATTCAAAATAGAGGTTTTCCGATTCAGTGACTAAACAAGTCGAGGCGAATAAATTTTTCTGCTTTAACGGCTTCCTGCTTTAGCATTGACAATGAATCGATTACGAAAATCATAAGGTGCATTTAGTTTTGACTAATTTAACTCAAAAATCAAAACTCTGTGCGGACTGAAACAAGTTTGATCATACAGTGGTTTATTTCAAAAATTAAGACTCAGTGGGCGTTTTTATCATGCAATCTTTCGATGGATTACCACCACGACATTAAGCTGCGCATTATAAGAGATATTTATAATAGTCATATTGAAAAAGTACTGTAATAGGTAATTTGATGCCCATTTAATCAACTGCAGGGATTTGATGGAATTTTACGTGTCATACGCAGCGCTGTACTTCTTCATGCTGTTCACCTAAGTATTTTGAAATTCCCGCAATCAGCAGCTGAAACACAATTCACTTAATAGAACATAAAATACTTTCCTATAATTTCATGACTGGATTGTATGTAATAGATTTAGCTTACTAACTGATTAATAAAAATGAAACGAATAGTCTCGCAGAACGGAGCGGGTAAATAGAGAATTACATCAGTTTAAAATTCATAGAGTAACTACTAAAGGAAGTCTACAAATAACTGTCAACATAATCATGTGGTAAAGCTTCAGGTGCAGCAGAATCTGAGGCGGTAAGGAGAAAGACCAAGGATAATATAGTGTAGCAGATGATCAAACTAATAATTCGCTTTAACCAAATACGACAGGAAAAATAACGTTTTCCCATCCTAAAAACTGATGACTCTACTTGGACATGTATCATCGACCTCATTTTTCCTATTAACGTAAGCCAGGCTGGCACTTCTACACAGGTTTACCCCATCCCCGTCATTGCCAATCTATGATGGACTTTTTCAACCACAGATTTTGGCACAGCTACTTGATCTACGGGTAGGGAAACCATGAACCACGATTTTGGTGTGCAGCTGAACTGCAAGGGAACAGAAAAAATTATGGTTTGGATAGCTGAAAATTACTTAGCCAATTCATTGATCGGTCAACAGAGCGTTGGCGATTATGTAGACTAGTATATAACCAAGTATTACGGCATATTCATCACAAACTAATTTTCTCATATGTATGGGTCCATGCTGCTGCAGAAAACATTAATGCTGGTGAATAGCCACTACATATGCCTGAAACTTCACTCTGGAAAGATGGCGATCTTTGCGTTCACCTTAAGATTGCCGTGAGCAATCATAGAGGACTCAGGATAGCACAATTTGTTGATGACATTCCGCACAACTATACTGCGAGTCTTCACCATAAATGATATTCTGTGAGGTACGATCCTGAAGAAACACTTTACAATTGCATGCCTTCCGTTTCAGCCGTATTTGACAATGACTAATAGGACTTCCTAAATGAAAATTTTGAAAAAATCCTAATCACAACTGGACAACGACAAAGCAACCCCTGCATGCCTTAAAGAACATATTATTATAGCATGGTTTCAAAACGAAAACAGAGTGACATTATTCGAGGTAAAAAATTGAAAGACAAACCGAAGTACACACATATCCTGATTTAGAAATTATTTCTACAAAGATATTTGTAAATTTATATTCACTTTTCAGTCTGCAGATTAATATTCGCCACAGCAAACACCCAAAATTCGTCCAAACGTCCACGTCGTAAGAAATGAGCGTGGAAGGACATAGCAAATGGAAAAAAAGACAGCTGACTCGCTTTTGTAGTCTCTGCTGTCGATGCTTGTTGTGATAACAACTATGCAAATTTTGGCATAAGCAGAACATTTTCGGTTTGTGATGTTAATTGCATTCATAGGTTTTCAACAACCTTGCTATAACTTGAGGGCTAGTGCATCACAAGACGGACAGTTCTTCCGTAAAAGCAGAACAATCTCTATCTTCATGATTATTATACGCAGTAATTACTAAAGGCAATTTTTTACTGGTTGTTTAAAGAAAGCTACTACACTTACATCATAACTACCGTAACTACCGCTGTACTACTTACTATCATAGCTACCGCTGTACAGTATAAACGTTTGTTTATTACTAGTAATAACTATCATAAAACGTAACTGCTGCTGATTCAGATTTTCAGAATTGTTAAACAGAAGACAACTTACTTTTCAGCCCATTCCGGCTTCATGCCAGTCATACGAGCCAGCATTTCTACCCGGGCAAGTTTTTCCTCGTTCTGACCCACCACCTGGTTCGGGACTACGGCGGTGCCAGGGAGTACCTCCGGAACAGGATTCGCCGGTTCGCTGGTCCTTGTTCGGGCGAACTCCAGTAAGTGCAGGTAAGAAGTTCGGAGATCGCCGCTTAGCGGCGACACCAACAGCTCATCATTGATAATACAAACACTGTAAACAGGCAAATAATGCCAAAACAAAAGCAAAAAAGTCGTCTACCTTGAGCCTGATGAAAGCAATAAAAATACTCTGGTAAAAAATCTGGGTATCGTCTTGTCGACCGCAGGTATCTCGTGAAAAATACCGGTCACATTGCAACAAACCAAACTATCCTGAAAAAAGCACCAAACTATCCATCGAAAGAAAAGCATTAAACAAGAAAAAACTTTCGTACGGTAGCTAGAGAGATGTCAAAAACAAAGCTGTCGAAATCATGTTTCGTAACTGGCAAAGTATTGCAGAAACAAGAAATAACCGCCAGCCTTCCGTCATGAACCAACTTTGCTCTAAACCTCTCCCAAAAACTGACAGCCACAATGTTGTGACTTTCTCTGACCATTTCTGACCACGATCGACTTCTAAAGGAAAGAAAACTCCTGACGTCGTAGGTAACTGAAACTATGTCAAGAGTCGTACTTTTCAGCATTGGAGGTTAACAACGAGGCGGTAAAAGTAAAGGTAGACTAAAAGATGACGGCAAAATTTAACTAAAAAACAGCTGCAAAAAAGTACATCTTCGCTGTAAGCGTCGACAAGCTTCTGACGATTTGAGCGATTTGCATCGTCGAATATGTTGTAGTAATTCATGATGAACTGCGTAACAATGCTCTGGATCTGAGGGTTACCAAAGAAGCTAAGCTGAAAGGCAATTCGAAACGAATGCAAAGAGAAGCAGCTCGTAAAAAATTATTACCTTTACTGACGGAGCCTTTTCT